AATCTAAGCTATAAATAAAAATTCACTCTTTTTATAACTTCCTATTTTCCCTTTTAGTCATTTTGTATTTGTTTTTATACTTACTTATTTTTATACTTTTATACTTGCATTTGTTTTTATACAAGCCAACATTTGGCCACACAATCTGTGCAACCGTAATGGTTCCACAATATTCCATAGCAGTGTGCAGAAGGATGAAAGACACATGCTGGAGAAATCAGCCTGAGACTTGACCCTTGCTGCACCCATGTTGGCTATGGGACAAATTATTGAACCTCCTAGTCTTCAGAATTCTCATCTGAAAAATGGGGCTAACCTACCTCCATAGGTTTGTTCTGGGAGCTAAAAAGTATATGTAGATTCTGTCACAAGTTCCCTTACCAGTGTCACTCAATGGAAACACTATTAGCTTTCTGGATAGGACAATTCTTGTCTTGTGCAGGAATGTCCCATCCACTGCAGGATGCCCCCTAACATGCCATCTGTGCCAATTAATGAGGGCTTTGTGACATGATACTACATCTTCTGTTTACCCTTTTTTCTTCCACTCCTCCTTTCAAAATATTTATTTTGATCTTATATACTTATTCCTTAAAAGTAGGCTAAATTTTACATCCTCAAGTCTCTAACTTCCAGTAGCTGAGATAGTGTTCTTGAAGGCTACTACCATTAGGTATTTACACACTGAATGGCATTGCTTATATGTTTCTATAGTCTTTAGACTATTAGCAATCTGATAGTAACTCTCTTTCAGTGTCTAGTACCTCACACGATGCCTGATACACCACTAGTGTTCAGAGATGTTTGCTAAATTAAATGAGCCATCTCACATGAATTTTGAGCCTGGTAGGCTTCGCATTCTGATGTAATATTCCTTTGGGGCACCTCACTCTTTTCAGAACCTTGACATCTTAGACTACCCTTCCTGCATCCAGTCTAACTGGCACCCATTCTCATTTTGAAGACTGTAAGGATGAAATAAGCCTCTGGGTGAAGGATCTAGGGTAAGTCATCCATCTGAGGAGTGGGCATTGAACATGGGAGGTAGTGGTGGTGGTGCTGAGTGGGGTACTAAGAGAGAAGAGCCAAGAGCTTCTCTTTGGCAGACACACAATGGGGCTGAGCCCCGGGAAGATGATTCTGACCTGGTACAGGAAAAGATGCTTAAGTTGTGCTAGAATCCCCTCCTGCTCTCACTGCAGACACATCACTTAAATGTAGCTCATTACAGACATATTCATGGGTACACACACGGTCATTTATTGTGTTCCCAGTTAACTACTAGTTCTTAAAGACTTTCTGTGAGCTTTCTTTTTTCTGTATTTCATTCTGCCATGGAATATGTAAGCAAGAGAAACGATTCCTGTGCTTGCTGAGCAGATCCCGTGGCAATGCCAGTTGCCACAGCTCAGTCACAAAGTGGGGCACGTAGACAGCCTTCCCACTGATCTATGTCACCTCCTTCTACTATTTCTCAAACTGGCCATTTCAAATCACTGTCTTTTTCTTCGAGGATCCTATTCCATTACCTTCCTTGCTGCTTCCTGTTACCTCTTTTACCATCATAATGTCTCAGCAGATGTGTCACTTTCTACTTCACAGAAGCCATAAGGCATGCTCTCTCACCATTCTGTGCCTCTCTCCTCCCCCTGCCCCCAATAAAATGTATCTGTAGCCACCATTCTCATGTTGGTAGAAGATGCTCTCTCCACCCGAATCAAGGGTAGTCCTTCCACCTGGATCCATTACCTCCTTCCTACTGAAGATAATAACTATTCTCCACTTGCCTGAGCTCCTGGGTCTCATATCCGACTGCTTACTTAACATCTCTGGTTGGGTATCTAACACATGTCTCACACTGAACATGCTCAAAAACATTTTCCAGTTGCTCAGATTGTTAAGAGTCATTCTTGATTTCTCTTTTTATTTCATACCTCACATTCAATCTTTCAACAAATCTTAGTGGCTTTCCTTCAAAATACAACCAGAAAACCACTGCTTCAATCCTAGTCCAAGCCATCAGATTCATGTGTTGCCTAAACGATTGCACGAGCCTTCTAAATAATCCCATTGCTTCTGTCCTTGCCCCGACACTGTATTCTCAACAACTAGAGTGGTTTTGTTAAAACCTAAGTCACATATTGACAACCCTCTTCTCAAAATCCTCCAAACATGTCCCAATTCACTGAGAGCAAAGCCAAAACCTTTACAGTGGCCTACAAGACTCTACCTCCACCAGCACCTCTCAGGCCTCACTCTTCTACTTGTCACCTCACTCTGCTCCAACGCACTGGCCACCTGGCTTTTCCTTCAACATGTCAGGGAGACCCCTGATTCAGGCCTGTAACATCACCAGGGACCTTTCTAGGTTCGTCTCCACATTCAGACTTATAACACTATCATAAACCTCATTTGGCACCAGAATCCCTTAGAAAGATACAGAATTGGAGTCCTACTTGCCAGCAAGGCAGCATTAGGCTTTGCACCCTTGTGGGGATGGATCTTCACGACTGTTGGTGTAGTGGTCTACCTGCTGCCCAGAAGCTAGTCTCTCCCTGAGGCTCTCCTCCCTGGATCATCTCAGGTACAAGGATGAGAGATCCACTGTAGGGGACTTCTGGGTTTATCCTGACTTAAAAGCCCCATGCTCCAAAGGAACCAATATCTTTTATAACTCAATAGATACAGCTTCCATGTGTCAAAGGACATGCCCAGTTACAAGTGCACCACAATCACAGAAGTCCCATGGTATGGCTTCCTACCAGGCATTTATCATTCCCCAGTCCAGAAGCAGTTGACCAACAGCAGTCATTTATACCATAAGCAATGTTGCCTAGTAACGCTGTGACATTCTACCTTTATCAGGTCTCTAGGGAAACAGCTAGAAAGTTCAGGAAGTCAAATTTCAAAGTCTCCTACAGAAGGGGAATTGGTCCTGCGAACCTCTGTCTATTGTCCCTTGCTCTTGCTGGTCCCTCTGCCTGAAAGGCTCCTCCCTGGACCTCTGCATGGCCTACTTCTGCACCTCCTTCAATCCCTTGTTCTGAGTTACCTTCCCAATGAGGCCTTCCCAGGCCACCTTATTTGAGAATCGCAACTCCTAATCTCAGCTGCTGGGACCTCCTATCATATATCCTCGTATGTTTTATCTGCTTTTCCACTACTCTTATAACCTTCTTACATACATAATTTACTAACTGATTTTCTTAATTTTGCTTGTTTTTCCCATAGAATTTAAGCTCCGTAACGGTGGAACATTTGTCTTTTATTTTTTTTCCTCCTGCATTGGTAATTCTTGGCACCTAGAATAGTGTCTGGCACACAGTAGCTCCTTCGACAAATATTTGTTTTATGTATGAATGAATTTATGCCCTTTCTCTCTTTCAAACTCTATTCTTTCATTGGCATCCTTTTTGAGGGGAGGAAGAAGAGCAAAATTTGTTCTGCTCACAAATAAAAGGCAGCCTGGTATTAGAGATTAAAAACAGAGAATTTGGGGCCAAATTTTCTAGATTTGAATAAGGGCTTTGCCAACCACCTTGGGAGGTTTCTCTAACTTCTGTCATCTGTAAATAGGAATAATAATAGCACCTCCATCTTAGGTGTGGCATGAGGATAAAATGAGTTAAATGTGTAACATGTTCAGAAGAGTGCCTGACACATAGGAAACACTATGGACTAACTATTATTAAAATCAACTTTCAAAAGGCCTTTATTTCTACTCTGCACCACTTCTAGCTATTTCTCTCTTCCAAGCTCCTCCTCTCCTCGGCTGATTTATGTAACAGTCACGTCTACCCCATAACCTTTACTTTAACATCCATTCACTTTTCCAACCACTGAAACTAAGATTTCTAATAACCTATTTGCCACTTTTCTCTCCTTAGTCCATGAGTGAGTTGTACTGATGGCCATCACTGACCACACCTGCCTCTGACTTTTGAGCCCCTCCTCTCTCCTGCTTCCACTTGTTCTTACCGCGGCCCCTTCCCAGTCTCCTTCAGAGGTGCCCCTTTAACCTTCATTAACTCTTTTATGTTATTCCCAACATCATCTCACGTGCCGCATTCTCCTTGGAATCATTCTCCTATGATTCTATTCATAGGCATGACTTCAACTCACACTGATGACACCCCATGAGAGCCAGTCACACTGACAGTTTCCTAAAGATGCCATGTTCTTTCTCACATATATGACTTTGAACTTTCTGTTCTTTTCTGGTACCTTCTCCCAACCTTATCTCCCTCTCTCTAACTTCAGCTGGTTCTCCGAATTTTAACACGACCATCCATTTTTCTCTTGTTCCAAGCCAAACGCCCTCTTCTGCACTCTTAGTGCTTTATGGATGCCTCTATCATAGTCTAACACAACCTTTTCTGAGTGCTGGTTTATTTAGTTTTCCCCTAGAAATTAACTGCTTATAGATATACATGTCCTCAAAGTATGATGCCTGGCACATAGTAGATGTGTAAAAAAGAAAATCTGGATTCAACATTTGAATACATAGAAAGAATCCATACAGAATAAATTTTGATTGGGCTATATTTTAATTCAGAACTAAACATTAGACAAAATAATGATATCTCATCAAAATATGCTTCCAGAAAATCTTATCAAGGGTTAGTATAACAGGTAAAGAAAAGAAAAAGTTCCATTTTGGCATTAAAAATGGCACTGTGTATATATACATGCTTATTTCACCATAAAACCAACTTTGAAAGATAAGGGACACTTTTGATGTTAGTGACATCAAATATTACTCGACTCCGTCAACTGCTGTTTGGGCTCAGTGAAACCTTACAAGTACCGTATTTTACCTTATTTGGAAGGTTCAGTAAATCAGTGTTTCAGGCTCCCTGCCATGATTACAAATATACCATACACAAGTACAAAAGAGCAACTAATATTTACTCGGTAAAAATCACACAGCCTGCTCTTTTAAGAGGTTTCAATGGTTAAGTTGCTCTGGTTCCCATTCCAACAAGAGTCTAGGCACCTACCTGTAAAGTACATCCGAACACACCGATCATTAGCATGGCCACCGAAAGGTAGTCGGTAAACACATCCCACCATGGTTTCAGCACCCGGAAGGCAGGCTGCTGCTCAGAGAACTGCCGAAATTCTGTCACCGGAATCATGTTTCTGAGAAAGGAGAGATTACTGGTGAATTAATTGATCTTCACGCACAACATACTCCATTATTAACAGCATTTGAAATGCTGCTTCATCCCACCAGAAACAGTGGTCTGAGTTAGACCAGGAGGTGTCATGACACCTCAGTGTTTTCATAAGCCATTGACTAAAGCAGTTGAAGTAAGGAGCCCCACATGAAAAAGACAGAAACCTTTACTAACTATTGTCCAGCAAGTTTCCTTTGGCTCTACGTGCACCGTAGAGACCATGGCCAGAGTAGTCTCTGGGTCCATTATTTCCTGGACTCTCCCCTAAACAAGAACAGGAGGATGCCAGAAAGGGCAGAGCCCAGTCTTTGAGATGTTTTTGCCATTAATCTCACCATCTTGGGTTGTTGCTTTAAACTACTTTTTTAAAAGTGTAATCTCAGCATTGGTTTGTGTTATTTATCTACTGAGCCTTATTTGTAAAGCATTTTGCTTGCTCCCTGGGGAAGGCAAACAACTTTGTCACATTGTCACTGTCTTGGAAGATGGAAGATCTCACTGATTGTGGTGGTGGGGGGTAAGGGAAGGCTTCATTTGCCCCCCTCCCTTTTTTTTGGTCACTGTGCTTTTGACTTGATTCTTTCCCTCTATTTTCTTTACTCCTCATATTTTGCTGTGAACCTCAAACTTATCCTGATTTTCTCCTCTGAGAAATCAGTTGGCCTTGAAACACCTATTTCTATCTAAACAACATAAGATAAATGAATGGGGTGCGCCTGAGGCTCTGGGAAAAGGGGAAAAAAGAGATGCATCTTTTTCTTATTCTGCATTCTCCTTTCTTACTGCTCAGTCCCACTACCTGTAGTATAATCCAGAACTTAAAGTTAATCATCTTGCAACTGTGAGAAGAAATAGTCTTTCCTTATCTTATGGCAATGAGTAAGAGTGGCCAACGAGGGCTAAAAAGAAAATTTCTCTCCCTTTTGCCATCTTTGGATCCAATAATCTCTCTATATTTGTCCTTGTTATTAAAGACTCTCATTAAAGAGAAGGGAAAAGGGTAAATCTGGCCCTTATTCTCCTAAGCCTTGTTTGTTTCCTGGATCTTCCTTCCCTAATATTGAATCAAAGGCTGTACAATATACAGCTCAAAGAAAAGCAAAGACACTTTTTTGAATTCACCGCTGGTTATCTTTGGAAACTATTATAATGTTCTCCGTTCGGTCTTGCAGCTCTAGTCTACATTCTTTGACAGCTTTGGTGGTTGGGTCCTTTGTGATAAATTTCTGGACACCTTGAGGGATGTAGGCTTGTTTTCTAAAGTGGGGAAGAATTTCAGGAATAAAATACACCAATGTAGAGCAGTGGTTCTCAAACTTTTTGAACTCAGGACTCCTTCACACTCTAAAACATAGTGAGGAGGACCTTAGAGAACAATTTATGTGGGCCATACCTACTAATATTTACCATATTAGACATTAAAGACAAGAAATTTTATTGAATTTATTGGGGTGACATTCATTAATAAGATATTTTAAAATATATATATTAACTCATTTTAAAATAAATCCATTACATGTTAACATAAATTATATCATGAAAAATAACAATATTCTCCAAAACAACAACAAAAAATTAATGAAAATAATGGCATTGATTTACATTTTTGCAAATCTCTTTAATATACATCTTAAGATAGCTGGAAACTTATTACCTGCTTTTGCATTCAATGTTACAATGCTGCTTTGACTGAAATTTATGAATCAAATAGGTATGCAATTACAAAAGGGAGGAGTATCTTCACAGCCTTTTCACATAATTCTGGGTATTATTTTTGATAATATATCAAATTAACTTGGCTAGCTGCAATATAAAATCTGAAAATTATTTCAACCTTCATGACATTAAAATTCATTTGTCTATCCTGCACTTTGAATGGATCTTTTACTCATGCATGATTTTGTAACGTCATCTGGAAAATATTTGATCACTGAGTTATGCAGCGTGTCCAAATGTTGACAAATTATATTAAAAAATCGCATTCTTTAATATCACCACTGCTTTTATCAGAAAAGTTTTTAAGTAATGGGAAGTTGTCAAACTTGTGGTGATGAATACAAGTTTTTCGAAACTCTAATCATCACTTGAAAGTTTGCATTTCATTTCTGGCAGCTAATATTACCAGTCGTTTTCCTTAAAGTGTCAGGCTCACATAATTCATTTTGAAAAAATATCTTCCACATAATCAACTCTGAATAATCAGTTGTTTTATTCAAGTAAAAACGATAAAGGAGTGAATTCAACTTTTAACTCAAATAAGGACTTTCATTTGAGACATCCACTGTACTTTGAAAGGCAGCAAAAGTATTTTATGTGTTCTTCCCAGGCATCACACATATTAATACGATATGCAGCCAAGGGTTGAGAGTTATTAAAATAATAATTGTACTACTTCAATGAGGACATTAAATGAAACTGGCATTTTTTTTAAGTTGTGTGTGCCAATGAAGAATACAATCTTTACAGTATAGTCCGATGCCTCTATTTTGATTCATGCCAAGGTGCCTTACCCACCATTGCCTTTGTTCCATCAGTGAAAAAGGCAAAAAATATCTTAGCATTAAAAAGTAGTTTTGACCTTGTCGACCCTCTAAAAAGGTTTAGGCTGTCAGGGTTCCATGAACCACACTTTGAAAACACTAAGGTAGAGGCTCAATGTTCCTTCCTTTATCCATGGCTCTCCCTGGGAAAGCAAAGGCCTGGGCACTTGTGACAGGTGAGGTGCCCCGCTAAGTTGCCTTTACCGGCATTATTATCTTAACATGGAAAATAAAGACAAACTAAGAATCTAAGAAACTTAAGCATTATCTACTGCTTCCTGATAGTGGCACAGCCTAATTAAGATGGATTACAAGACTTGTTAGAGAAACAGCCGATAACGATGATACAGCCTTTTAGTGTTATAACTCAATTCTTAATATATTTAACCTCTTTGGAGTGTGTATATCTGCACATGTGTATGTACATGTTTGCATATGTATTTATCTATACACTACATATAAATGTATATGGATATATAATATACACACAAATGTATAATACACACACAAAGACTTTATTATTTTAACGTATCACAAGGCTCAAAGCCAATATCTAGCACAGCGTTAAGTTTTGGAATTATTTTTGATACCAAAAAAAATATCTGGGGGAGGGAAGGTAAAGGAGGAGTTGACCAAAACCTCCAAAACTGAAAAGAGGGTGAATAGACCTTTTGCTTTCACAATTGAAAAAATTTTTAGTATTCTTCTGTCACAATTTTCAGCATCTCTGAAAGTTATGCATTACAGTGGCGGCTACACTTGATTTCTCTTTTATTATCATTATAGTTTCTATGTGATTTGCGACCATTCCAAGAGTCATTATCATTTTAAGCTGAAAGAGCCACTTCTGAATAAACTGCTAGATTTAAACAGATTGCCCCTCCCAAGATCAATCAGCATAATTTTATTTCTTTTGAATTTTTTTTGTTTTAGAAATGGAAATAATTATCTTTATACTTCTTTCAACTCCAATTGTTATGTAAGATTTTAATTTGCCTAATTAAATAATGTCATCAGGAATACAGCATTTCAAATTTAATCAAGAGATTCGGGTATCCTAATTAAAAATACATAAAGATTTACATGATCTCTGCCTCTGCATCCTTTTGCAGAAGTCCATGTGCACTTCCTTTATTAAAAATACTTATATCGAAAAGTCATTGTAATGGCTCCATTAGTTACAAACCTTTATCTCCCAAAAACATCATATCATATAATCTTTTGCTAAAGAATATTGGCAAAATTAGTTGCAAACCCAGAGTTTCTTATTTCTTTCATTTATTAGGCTCTTCCTGAAACAATATGTCTTCATCTGCTCTCAGGAGAATTTTAATATCTTCTTTTCCAGAATTAATAACACAGAACAAATTCTACTCTATTAACCCCATGACCTTTAATAATATCAAACTTATTCTACTTTGATTCAAATCTGATTGCTAACACTGTTCTTTGGCTATTAGGTGAGTACAACTAACATTTGCTCTGTACCATATCTTTTTCTGGCAGTTGGAAAATGCATCACTTTTAGACAGTACAATTATACACCATTCAAGGAAACAAGGGTCAGTTCCAAATGAAAATAAATATTATCAGTAAACATGGTGAGTAGCCCCTTATAAAGATGAATTAAACAATTAAATAATTCTAAGCACGTGAAATATGATTTCTACAGAAAAGAAACCCACATGTATTATTAATGTTGCTAAATCTAATAGTCGATTCTCAGCCCTCACATTTGCTCTGTCAGCAGCACTGGCATAATATGACCATTCCTTACTTGACTTCCAGGACGCCACAGCCTTTAGGATTTCCTCCTCCATTCCTGGCTGTTCTCTCTTTAACTCTTTTGCTATTTTTCCTGACCTCCCTGATCTCTGTCTTTGGAGTGCTCAGTGCTTCATCTTTGGTCCTTTCTTTTCTCTAACTCATTCACTCCCCTGCTGATTGCATTTAGTCTCAATACTTTAAATAGCATCTATATTAAACACAAATTCATATCAGTATCCAGACTCATGGCCCCAGCTGCCTACCTGACATCTCCATCTGGATATTCAATAGACACACGAAACTCAGTATATCCTAAATCCAGTTCCATTCCCTTATCCCCACTTTCCCCATCACCGGCAAAGACCTTCTCCTCTTACGTCTTTCCTATCTCAGTTGATGGCAATTCCATCTTTCCAATTGCTTAAGCCAAAAATCTGTCATTCCCAACTCTGTTTTGTCTCTTACATCCCCAATCCAATCTGTCAAAACATATTTATTAGGTTCCTTAATGGATTATTTTCCTCCTCCTACAAGAATATAAGTTTCCTAAAGGCAGAGATTTGTTTTTCAGTTCTATTTTGTAAAGTGATGTATCTCAACTACCTAGAAAATAAATGCTTGGCATTTGGTAGGCTCTTAATATATACAGAATAAA